AGTTTCTTTAAAGTTTTTAGTCACCCTTCCCTTTGGCATTTGTGCTTATATATTCTGTTGGTTTTGGTATGTGCAAGTGTACTTGTACCTCTAATATCAGTTAATGAGGGAAACTAGGTAGTCCTTAGGTCCAGCCAAACTACTGATTCTCTTTCTTGGCTTCCTTCACAAGTTGGCTTATTGCTGCTATATACACCTTTGATGTCTTGGGATACCACTTTTCTGAATGCTTGGCAGGCCAGTAGGAAATAACTGCGAGGCTTGACCACAATGGCCCAGAAGATCTTTCCCTCAGCATCCAATAATGATGTCTACCTGAACTCGTTCAGTCCCTCAAATTTTAGCTCCTTTGGAATGAAGCACCTCTCCGCCGAAGCCCAAGTCCTTGCTAGATTTTTCTTGTTCTGGATGCTTGTTAGCAATTGCCATAGATGTATTAACAGCTTACCGCAGTTCTTGTACACCCTGTATGTCACACCTGTTGGACCTGGGGCTGAGCCTTCCTGATGATTGTTCTTACCTCCTCAAGCTTGAAATTTGACTAGTCAAACGGTTTTGATGATGAATCTGGTGGGATGTCAATTGGAAAATTATCCAATGGCATCTCTCGATCTGGGTCACTCTGTGCTGCCAAAGTATTTGCTTCTGCTTGATCCTGTGTACATGCCATATGGGCACTCTTTGGTTCCCTAACAAGTTTGATGTGAGCCTATAGTGATTTTCAAAGAATTTCTTTCTGGTCCTATGCGTCTCTTTTCCTGAGTGTTTCTATCTTTGGAAGAAGAATCTTTGTAAGAAGAATCTTTGGATGACTAAGACAAAGTACTCTCTTAAGAAGCATCTGTTGGAGCTCTCTGATCTTTTTACTAGATAATTCCTCCACTCCTTGTCCTCGCATCTGGGATGGAAATTGTTCTAACTTGGACAAGAGGTAGCATAGTGAAGAGGCTGGGCTCTGCCTCCCACTTCTATTTGGTGCATAACTGCATACCACCCTCTTGTCTTGATAGGTCTTGGATTTTTAAGCTGATGATATATTTTAGTTGGTCTTCAGGGTTCTCACTAGGCTTTTAGACTCCGGAGATGTCTTAAAACCCTCTTGCTCCAGAGTCTAATAGCTTTTCCGGAGTCTAAAGTGTTTTTTCCGGAGACTAATCTTACATTTTTGTCACATTATTTGCGGTAAAACTCGTGAGAAAATTCATAAAACTGGATACAAACAAGGAATGGGAAGTCAGAAACCTTTTAGAAATAAATATTGAGATTAACATAGCAAGATAATCTTAAGAAATATGTTGAAAAGTATACTTATAGGATATTTCTGATCTCCCATGGGGGAGAAGTAGTCGCAATACTGCGAAAAAAGTAGTCACAATACCGCTAAAAATCAGGGTCTAAAAATTTCCTGGTGAGAACCCTGGTCTTCTGAAGGTACTGTGAGCTCATTGAAGATGAGGTCCTACTGTGTTTTGACATCAGCACTGAGTTTCTGGAAGAGGTCAGTTGAGAGTCCAGTCGGATGTCTTGGATAAAACATTGGACTGAGGTAGAGGCTTAATGCATATTGAGTTAATTATATAGCTTTAACAACTAAATACTGTGGTTACCCATTTCAGTTCATTGCCTATCCTAAAATGATATGGGGATATGTGGTCATTCGTATCTGTATAGTACTTAGTCCAAAAGCGATACAGATTATAATATCTTTGGCTGAAATTTAAATGTCTGCCAAACAGACAAACAAGAATATCTGAACAAGCTAGGAATAAGGGACATCACTGGGCTTCTTTCTAAAAGTCAAAAGCTATATTTTACACCCGGGGGGTTCACTGTATATAGACCTTGACAGGGGTACCTCTTTTAACACTTGGTATGGCAATGGATCCAAATTTTAGGATCTGGAATGAGAATGTCCCAAAACTATGACTTTTGAGGTATGACAATGGTCGCATTTTTCTACTTCATGGTACAAGAATGGTTATGGAGAATATGTTTCCTCTCACTTGTAGTATGGGATTGGTCTAGTTTTTACAAATGTCCTTAATTTTAGGTTGTTTTTGGATCATTTTCCTAAAAGTTCTGCCTTCTTCTTGAGGCTTTAGACATTTTGCATTCTCTTGGTCTTATATTTTTGGGATATTTGGAATGGCATTAGTCCTAAATTTGGACATTTGGTATAGCATTGGTCTTATATTTTGATATTTTGGTATCGCTTTTGGGCGTTATTTTGGTTGGTATGGGAACGCATTGAAATTCGACAGATTGGTATGGGAACATAATGATATCTGAGGGCTCTGCCTAGGACCCCTACAGAATTGTGTATTCAGTGAACCCCTGGGCATTTTACAGATGATACATTGACTATATAATAACATTACAGATTTTCAACAAGATCCACGCCCCTTTTCAGAACAATAATCATTTGAAAGGTCATACCTTAATTTCTGACAATGTTTTTCTGAAACTTTCAATGCAAATATGTTCAAAAATTCAATTGCAAATATGTTCAAAATGAATGTATACATTTAATATCTTTTACATATTCATGAGAGACCAAGACTGGTCACTCAGAGGAAAAGGCAATATGCATTACCGTTGAAAAAGGGCAAAAATAATGATTGATGATATCATATTTTATGCAAATATGGTAATTTACATAATTATCGTATCTTATAATGTAGGATATTGTGATACCTTCAGTTTGGTACCATTAACAGCTTTCAACTCTCAAAACTGTGGAAGTTATTGTACTTTGAAATGATTAACATCAATTCTCTCACAAGAAGTGCCACGCCCCTTTTCAGTAACATAATCATGTGTCTGACAATGTTTTTTCAAAACTTTCAATTGCATATATGTTCAAAATGAATGTATCTATATATTTAAATTCATTTATGTTCATGAATGACTAAGACTGATCACTCATGCAAAAAGGTATAATGCGATACCGTTGTGAAGAGGCAAGAATTATGATTGATGAGGTCACATTTTATGCAAATGAGACAATTTGCATAATTATTGCATCTGATAATATAGAATACTATAATAGCTTCATTTTGGTACCACTTACAGCTTTCAATTCTCAAAACAGTGGAAGTTATTGTACTTTGAGATAATTAACATCGACTTTTTCAAAAATTCAAGATGGCCGACAAAATGGCCGCCAATGAATACCATGGGACAATATTTCATTCTGGGAACATGCAAAAATCTTTAGTATGGACCTTTGGGATTACAAAAATGTACATTAAAAAAATACATCTTTCGGGTGCACGGGGACCATACCTTCCTACTAGACTAAATGAATGTTTGTAAAATATAGTCATTTTTTATAATTGCGTTACAATTAGGTGCTAGGCCAATCTTGGTCGGCGGCGTGCGTCTACGCGGTAGCTAGGCGTCGTCGTCAGTCAAAACAACAGCAATATTGTTTGTTTGTAAATAGTGATTATTTTCAATTTAACATTTACATAATTTGTATACATGTATCTCCTTTATATAAAGGGCAATAAATATATACATACATACATACATACATATTCAAACATGACCGTGCTCTATTCGAATTTCTCAACCAATCAGAATGCAGCATAGCCAATATAGAACGTTCTCTAATTCTCCATAGATGCACGACCATGCTCTATTTAATCTGCAATTTGCATTGTTTTAAGTGACGTCACATCTCAGCTGCACATCTGGGGCTCTGTCCGGGGATAGCTGTTCTTTTTTACTCCCTCCGTAACTACTGTAACTATTTAACTATGGCTGACTTCAAGGAGGATTGGAAGCCAGGGTTCCAACTCGATATTCTTTAATCTCCACGCATGCGTCATTTTCTATTCGTGTCTGTATAATTTGTACGACTGCATGGAGAATAACCCGATACTCTCCAACAAAGCTATCGCTAGGTGATTGTTTTGCAGAATATCGGTGTTGCATTCTGGGAGCCAATCCTCCTTGGGCTGACTTCAAGTTATACACCCAAGGAGGATTGGCTCCCAGGATCGAAACTCGATATTTTCCAACAATGAAAACGTCGAAATGTCGTTATTTTCTGAAATTAAAACCGACTATAAATTCAAAATAAACAGTTCAAAAGATTTGAACCAATATCTCGATCGTTTCTTGTGAGTTTTGGAATTTTTCGTTTGGAAATAAGACCAAAATTCACGATTTAAATGTTGAAGTGAACAAAATGGCGGCTGTTTGAATTCGAATTTTGTATTACGACATACCCATATATGGGACAGAATATCGGTGGTGCACTCTGGGAGCCAATCCTCCTTGTTATACACCGTATAAAATCTAAAACGGGGAGTAAAATAGAACAGCCCAAACAAATTCTAAAATTTTTCCGGCCGACTTCAGAATCTTGACAGCATGCGTATTCTTCCTTCATGCCCGTTCCACAGACACGGCTTTTACTAATTTTTATGTTTGAATCGGAATAAATAATGATAGGCCATTCAATATGGTGAAATTCAGCACTCGTTGGACAGAATGTTAGTACAAATGCACTCACCTTCGGTTCGTGCTTTGTACAACATTCTGTCCAACTCGTGCTGAATTTCACCATATTGAATGGCCTATCATTATTTATTCCTTAAATAGATAACATGCATTCTGAAAATAAAAATACGTGTACTGCTAAAGTTTGATCAAGCTTTATAAAAATGTTGATTTTGCAGATGTTCAAATTAGTGGCCCTCCTCTGCCTGTGCAGCGTGGCATATTGTGGGGATCTTTATCCCAAGCTGAAACGTAAGAAACAATATTGACCAGACATTTCTTTATAAACTTGTGTTTTACATGTATCTATAAAATTATCACATAGACCTATGCATGTAGTGGACCATGGTGTACAAGAATCGAGAAAATATCTAATAAATGTGTTAATGTCATATCTATTTTCAAAGACTGATCAATTTCTTAATACATTCCTTAATTGTTTTTTATTTGTTCCATTTTCAGCTCACCCTGTCTGACCGAACGAATGCTGTCTGCAAGGAATTCGATATGATGACCACACTGCGGGTTATGGACCTTTATATGTAAAAGATGAATTCAATCCAAGGAAATACTACATACCAAAATGGCATGACTATGGATATTGCCCAGAACCTGGCACGTTCAGCCTGAAATACTGCGCTTGTGAACATCTAAATAGTAATAAAAATTATGTTTAATACAGTCCATTTACTAACCTTTAAGAAATGTGACATTTAAAGATAAAGCCTTTCAAAATGAGTGCCTTATTGCATTAAAATATTTCACGTTTGTATAGTAGTATTTCATTTGATTTGAGAGCTTCATTAAAAGTATCATTCTTGGTTATTTAAGTGTTCAATTAAACTTCTTAGCCACATGTGCCTGTGCGCATTGGAACTTCACGGCACCTGACCCATTACTGGATGATGGCACATACATGAGTGAAGGCAACTGTGAAGCTGATGGAAGAGGAGAGCTTGTATGCCCTCCAGTGCCATTTCCTTTTGAACCTGTACCTGCTGAAATCCCAGCCACCCAGAAGATTTACTTTGGCAAAACGGGTACAATTTTTGGAAAGGTTGATGCTAACTTCGAGGGTACAGTTGTGACCAACGAAAGCCCTGAAGCCAAACCTCCCATGAACCACACCATTAAGATAGAGATTATTGATTGTACTCTAATCGTCTGGTTGGAGTACCGGGGAATAGAAGTATTTCACGAGGTTACTCTGTCTGCTGCCGCTAAAGCTGTAAGTTTTTATGTCCCCACCACATAGTGTGGGGCCATATTGTCGGCCTAGGCGCGTCCGTCCGTCTGTCTGTCCGTCTGTCATCCATTCTCAATAACTAGGCACATTTCCATGAGTGAAATGGACCAAAAGTGAAGTTGGTTTAAATGGTTTCAATTTGATGTTTTATTATTTGAATATATGTCAAGTAGCTAAACCGCAAATATCTTCATCAATCTCAAACCCCTTCATGAAAAATTTGCATGTCGAAGCGCATATGATATTATCTTAAAAATGCAAGTCTCTGTCATTAACGTTATAGTGGGGTGTCATATCAAGAGATCTGTATTTTGAGCCAAAGCAATATTCTCATATTTACTTTTGCATCTAAAAATAAGGATATATTTTGCCTTGATAATGAATCATATATCAGAAATTTTGAAGATATATAATTGAAACAGACTCACATTGAAGACGGAAATCACAGATGAACTTATTATTCCCTTTCACGAACAAATCCTAAGTGCTACACGGCATTTCAATTTTGAAGAAAATCAGTCTAACTACGTTACATTTAGCTTTCTTTTCTGATGATGGATAGTATGAAGCATAAAATGATAGCTACGTTTTGGTGTTTGACACAGGAGGCATGATTTAATTGAGATTTATATATCATGACACCCTTGGTAACGTATATGATTCAAAAATAGTAACATCGTAGAATCAGTTATATCATTATGAATAATTGTAAAATATCAACTGGTGTTTCTTATATCATGTTTACACTGAAGTTTAAGCAATAATAACACTTGAAACAGACATAGTCACAATGCCTAATCATGTTACGTAAATGATGGTGAAAGTCACTAAATTCTAAAATAGCTACATTAAAGATAACACCAACCTCAACTATGTATGCAACACATATGTAATTAACTAAGTGCAACATGCGCTACATGTTTTAAAGAAAAAATGCAGGCTTAAAGTTACTTTTTCTTTCTTTACACATTTTAAATGCTGTTAAGTATAAAATATGTGAGTATCGTCAAGAAGAAGTAACGCTAAGTGTCTCCTGATATCATACGATACATAACTACTAAAAACTTAACTTATTCCTCCATTACCTTTACTTTGTCATATATATCCTGGACCAAGTTTGCATCTCAGGACTCAGTTCGAATAGCCTTGGGGTTGGCTTCTCCATTTCAGATAAAATATTAGTATTGGAGATTTTCAGACAAATAATGTCACTTTTTAGAGGAAGAAGACACATTTTGCTTGTCCATAAAATAATTTCCCTATCATTAGTATCTACACTTACAAAAAATATTTAAATCAGCGGTTATCATAAACTGCAGTGACATATTCGCCAACGTGTACCCCAATATCTTCACTGTCAGTATGCAAGTATGCATGTCTCTGACATTAACACTCTTGAAAGGTGTTGTATCTTCTTGTATATCCATAAACCTGTGTGCAGTTCGGCTTTGACACGATTTATTTGCGTTGACCAAGGTAGCCTATGTCCCTTTGCCTGTGACAACCGTCGGGTACACAGTCCCGTTTTGTTGTCCTCTTGCAAAATTCATGTTTAATGTGTTACTTGATCATGAAACACTGTCATAGCCGCTTGTGTCACAATGATTATTTCGGCATCACTGGGGTCATTAGCTGCCAATAGTATCTTCTCTGATTTTTCTTTAGTTTTTTCTTGCTGTTAGGCTATTTATTTATTCTTAAAACGACCTCTTTATCTTTTCAGATGACATTGCAGCTATTGGGACAATAAAATTATTGAACACGTTCTTTGGCCATGTATGATCCACCTATTTTGTTTTTTCCTCTCATGATAGTATTTTTGAATTTCTGCACTAGTCTCTCCCATCTACAGAGTGTACATGTTGATAAATAAATATACCGGTAAAGTTTTGACGGCAAACAAATGTGTGCAGCAGAGTTCATCAACTACGTTACCATCGGTAACGTAAGTTATCATATAAAACACAGGGCCAGAGCTTCAATACAAAATCAATGATAGAAACGTGTTTTTATGTTCATTTTCACATTTATTCTAACAATGTTTATGCCATAGTTAACATTAAATTAACAACATAAATTCGTTTCAGATGAGAGATACTATATAGGGTGTAATACATACCTTAAATTGCGTGGTTTTACTCCGGAAAAGTGGTAGACTTTCTTGATTCAGATTCAAACCAATATGTGAGCTTAAATTTCCCTCGTTATAAACTTTATTCAGAGCTAGGAGTATGGTTATAGTTATTTTCGTACCACAAGGTATCGAAAATGATGGTATTGTAAATGATGCAAACGACACTCTCGCTGCTGTATTGTATTCAAACAAAGTTAAATTGGTTGAACATAGTGATTAATCAGAAACACCCCTACCATACAATTAGTTGATATAACATGAATATGCTCAACTACGTATTGACCGTGGAAACATTGATCACGTAAATGATTTTCTTATCTATAACTTCATGAAAAACTGTGATTATAATTTTTTAATGCCCAAATCTTCACGTTTCCAACAGCAACTTGTACGACTTTCTAACAAGTATTTACATGTGAATCCAGAAAAATATATAGCACATTGAATACATTATTTTTTCACCATCTTTATATAATTCATAGCACAAGGGGGTAAACATAAAAAAAGACTGGCGACATTTGCTTGGGAATATTTTTGGTAAGGTGAAAATGTCAAAATGATCGTTTCTGTCATTTGACTAGAAGCTAGGATCATCGTGTGTATAAGAAAACACTTTATATGGGATGTTACGTTTAAAAAGTTCTTCAATGACACCATACAATCCTGATTTTTGATATGGCGACAGCCACGTAAATTATGAATAAGCATATTCTAGTACATATAATAAAATATGTGTAACTTAGAAATCATATATTACATACGTGCTTGGTAGAGGGTCATATATACTACTTGTAAACACATCAAAAATTGATGTCAGTAATGTTACTACTAAGACTGAGCCTGGCGACATCAATTGTTCCTAGTTATTGAGAATGGATGCTGTCTGTCCGTCTGTCTGTCCGTCTGTCTGTCCGTCTGTCCGTCCGTACGTCCGGCAGTTTTCTCCAAAACCGTTACAGATATCACCTTCAAATTTTCAGGGATAACTTATGAGTGCATAAAGATGTGGATGAAAAAAAATTAACTCGATACCTACTTCCTGTCGGCCATTTTGAAGTCAAATGCTAAAATCCTTGTCTGCAAACTTTAAGAAAAACGGCCTCACAGTTGCTTTTCAAACTTTAACATCTTGTTCAGATCACTTCATTCTAGATCTGATTAGGTTTTGGACCTGTTAGCTCAGTCAAGTCAGCCATTTTGAATGTTTAAAGAAAAGTTAGCGCACGATAATACTTTGTATCATATTGAATGGTGTTTTTCAGTTTTCATACTTAAACTATTTAGTAGCTTTATAAATAATTTCATGTGTACTTTGTTGTAAAAGCCTATTTTATTGTTAACAGTAGTTATATGTGATAATTTTGCAAAAAGAAATCAGCAAAAATCCATAATCACTTTTTTATTGTCGGCCATTTTTGATTTTTCCGTCCTAAAATCTTGTCTGTAAAGTCTTGTCTACGCATTTCCAGGTGAACCGTTTGGTAGATCAATTTGAAATTTTCAGGGATGATTCTTAGTATGAAAATCTAGATCTGATTAGTTTTTGGGCATTCTGGGTAAATGTCAAGGCAGCCATTTTGGATTTTCCGTCGTAAAATCTTGTCTGTAAAGTCTTGTCTACGCATTTCCAGGTGAACCGTTTGGTAGATCAATTTGAAATTTTCAGGGATGATTCTTAGTATGAAAATCTAGATCTGATTAGTTTTTTGGCATTCTGAATAAATGTCAAGGCAGCCATTTTGGATTTTCCGTCTTAAAATCGTGCCCGTAAAGACTTGTCTACATGTTTTTAGGTGAACCGTTTGGTTGATCAATTTCAAATTTTCAGGGATGATTTTTAGTATGAAAATCTAGTTCTGATTAGTTTTTTGGCATTCTGGGTAAATGTCAAGGCAGCCATTTTGGATTTTCTGTCCTAAAATCTTGTCTGTAAAGTCTTGTTTACATGTTTTCTGGTTAACTGTGTGACGGATCAATTTCAAATTTTCAGGGGTGGTTCTTAGTATGAAAATGTAGAACTGACCAATTCTTTGGCATTCTGGGTAAATTTTAAGGTGGCCATTTGGATTTTCCGTCCTCAAATTGTGTCGGTAAAATCTTGTCTACTCATTTTTAGGATAACCATTTGACGGGATCACCAATAGGTGGGGACATTTTGTACACATTTGTGTTCTTGTATTTTCTTAATTTGGGTAAATATTCTGAACATTGGCAATACATATAGCTGTATAACATCATGAAACAAGGCATTAACATACAATTGCCACAACCTGTCATTTGATACAGACGCCGACCACCGGAAACCAACCGCTGAACGCCAAACACCGTCCACAGAAGGATTGGAGGCCATGACAATATGTCACCACTTGTGGTAGTGACATAAATAAATTCTGTCTTATATATTTGAACAGAGAATACAGAATGGTGAGGGAGAAAAGAAGGCATTTTATTTAGTTGTTGAAAATGGTAATATAACAGTGTGCCTAGGAGTGTTATTTGATGATGGAACGTATGAAGAGAACCATTGGGAAGAACCTCTGCCAGTAGGTTGTGAGTACTTACAAAAAAACAATTTCATAATGACAAACACACACGTATAAACACGTACATGTTGGAACTTTTAAACTTGAACCTGACACCACAGAAAGTATAAGCCCACTTAAAATTTAACATTTTAGAAGATTCAGATTGATAAGATTTTAACAAAAATACTTTCTTGATTTAATATGTTGTTTTACGGCCTTACTATGACGATTTATGACACTGCAAGTACTTATTTACTTTAGATCTGCCAATTTTGAAAAAGAATTGTCTGCTAATTCAAAATCTGATGTAAATTATAAGATGTTTATTACTTAATGTTAACTACTAGTATGCTTTATTTCTGCCAAATAGTGAATTCGAGTATGACAGGAGGTTTATTATTTCAACATAATACAAGCATCTTAAAATTGAGATTTTTAAAAATATATAAGACTTGAGTAATAAACAAGTTTATCGTTCACTGAAACGTGAGAAGTTAACAATGATGAGTGGAATAGGACACATGCATTTTAATTTAGCATATATATTGCATGCACAAACCCCAAGACACCAAACATCAAACGTCATGATTTTATGTTTTACAGTCAAGCTAGCTGGTAATAAGTGTCCATTCAAACTTGGATTTACAAGACCAGCTATATATTGTGACGTGAGTTTCGAATTTAAATCAACTCCATAAGTTATTGAATGATTTGAAGTGCAATACAGAATATATTGTGCTCGAAAAATATGTATTAGCATGAGACGAAGTTGAGTGTGATCTTGGGCCAATACATTTCACCTAAGGAGATACCCTAGGAAATATTCTGACTTGCTCTGAGATTGTTCCCTCCGTACCAATATTTTCTGTATTGCTACGGAGATGATCAACCCCGTACAAATGCAAGGTGAGGGGATCTCAGTAGCAATACAGATTGGTACAGCACAAAATCTGACCATTCAGAGTGCTTCATTTTACACACACGATAAATTGTTATATCGCCAATTTGCCTTTATCAAAAACCATATTACAGGCTTTTACAACAGTTCTTTGACAGAGGGTAGAATGTTTTATCCAAAGATAAATGTATGATGCAATTACTTAAACCTATTTTACAGTGTATAATTTTGATTGTTTTGAAATATATTCTAAACTTTTTGAACCCTGTGTATTGCTTTAATTTGGCACCATTCTCTACCTTATTTGGCCTATTAAATCTTTGTCAATCTTTATATTTTGATATATATAGTTCATTGAAACATTTGCAAAATTATGTAACTCCAAACTGGCCAAAGTGAATAAAGCCAAATTAAACCAATTTAGGTGTAGAGAAGCGCATTCATTGTGAACCCTATAACATGTATTTACCTTTTTAAGTTTGGCTTTTGTGTATTTGGATGGACACGTGATCAATGGAAACACTATTTGCACACTTGTGAAGTGCCTCCGAATCCCCATCCTGGTACAGGGTCTTGGCCTGTGTTTGCTGACTGGAATGAAGAAAACCAGCTCAGCCCTGGTTGATCAGTGAAAATAAATTGGAACAAACAATCATACGAATACGAAGTGAATTAAAATCTGTATTTGAATCGTGAGCATACAAATAAACAGATTAAAACTGCAATCAGCGTTTATGTTTGTTAATTATAAACCAGGACCTAATCCAGATAAAACCCGGAAGACTGCAGATTTCATGAAGAGTCAGAAAACACACAACCTTATCAAATATCATTACCCCCCCCCCCCCCCCATTGTCATCTCAAACAGTATGAGAAAATCCATGCATTTTGAAATCTTCTAAATTGTATCTTACACAAAGTTTTATCAACAGGAAACATACAATTGCGCTCAGTATTGCAAAAAATGACAAGAGAATGGAAAAGATGGAGAGCGATGCCCTGAGCAGACCAGAACAAAAGAGCTTAGATTAGACATTAATTTTATATTCAATAGAACTTGTATATCTAACACCTCTAAGCCAAATAACTCGCAAACTGAGCTCTTTTTCGGTCCCATTTTCTTATGTGCCATATGACGTCAGGTGATCGGAAGATCCGTCCAGCTTGGGAGCATCCTATTTTTCAAAAAAAACACTTAAAAAACTTCACAAATTTATAACAAGAAAAATTAACTGTCATGTGTATATCATTTGTGGATAACCTTCACTTCTGTTTGAAGTCCAAGTACTCTAGGAGAGCGCGAAAGTATCATACCATTGCTTTTTTATCTTTTAAAGGCACGATAATGACATGATAATATCTATATATGTTTTCAACACAACTCTGAAGGTATTAATGACATTAGATGTATCGATTCTTTTTTAATTTTTTACTTTTTGTCCAGCTTTGGGGAGCAGTTTCAAATGTGAAATACAAAAACATGTAAAGTACAAGCTTTTCAAATAATTTTCATTAAGCTATCATCATTGGACTTTCTACCTCTAAATACTTGTTGAACTCGAGAACAGCTCTTTGAACAGTTGAACGGATGGGATTTTCACCTCAATTTGTAATTCTAGAAACACAAAAGATGTTTTATGACAATACATACATTTATTTTTTGATTTATTTTCATCATACTGCACGGTCTTGACATCACAAACATACAACATAATTAACATTTAAAATTAAGTTGCACAATTAGGTCAGGATAAAAACAATCCATTTACTTAAAAAATGAATTCTTGCAAGGCATTAACATGCAAAATGTCACCACCTGCCTTTTGTTACAGACATCGACCTGCCGAACACCATTCACAAAAAGTTGGAGATTATAACAATATGTCACCACTTGTGGTGGTGGTGACATAAAAATCAAATCAAACATAGATTTTTAATACCATGTCCTTCAATTTTTCTTTCTCAGATTTTCTTACCATTTGTTTAATAAATGAGCTAAAAAGAGAAAAACTGAACAAGAATTGCTACAGATGTCACAGCTGCATCGGGACACACAGCTGTAAATAAAACACTACCATGGTCTGTAAATAAGTTTCTTGTTAATACTGTATACTCCCATATTTAATGGAAAACACAAACTTTACTCAGAGGAAAATACAACTGAATTTTGATTCCATTAGAATGGTTGGCATTCCTGTTTAGGTGATTTTAATATGAAACAATATGGACATCATTCCATTTCATACATTTTGTACATTTAAAAGTAGGCATTCCTTGTTACCTTGGTTTCAATATGAAACAATGTTACACTATTTAGAATGAATTTCAATCAGATTCATTTGCAACGTGTCAGTTTGTAGAATGTGAAAATGATGGGACAATTCTGATGAGAAAATATATCCCATATCCTAACCCTGGTAATGATATCCCATATCCTATCCCTGGTAAAGATATCCAATATCCTATCCCTGGTAATGATATCCCATATCCTAACTCCACCATACATGTAGGATTATGCAATATCACCTTGAGCAAATGCAGTATGAGCAACATTAATATATGATAGGAGGCCAACAAGAATGAAGGACCCACGGTCCTGTGCTCACACAGTTTGGAACCTTCAGAGGAATTTATATCCTGACTTTCAAACAAAAATATTGATTTGAATTTGTAGTCTCGAACTTAGATAGAAACTTAGATAGCATAGTTGTGTGACTTAGTTTGATGACCTTTGACCTTGAAAATTCTACTTATTCAGAGCTCAGTAAGGTCTTTTGTGATTAAGCTGACCAAAATTTACATCCAAAAATCAATTTGAAAAATCTACTTTTTTGACCTTTCGAAGGTCACTGAAGGTCAAGTAAAGGTCAAATTTGAACTCCTGGCAACTTGTAGATGATTTTCAAAAAAAAATTTGGTCAAATTGAAGCAAGTTGAAAAATAACTTATTTTTACTGTTTTTTACATCAAATATCTCAAAAACTGTAAAAATTTGATGCTGACATATATTGAGAAATATGTAGGGAATTCTTAAATCTATTAATGATGTAATTTATTGTAGGAAATGATCAAGTATAAGGCAAACTTTAAGAATCTTGTCAATCACAAAACCTGCCATTGACTTTATACATGAGAAAGTTTCCTGAAAATGACTAAGTCCTACTTTTTTTCAAATTTTATAGAGTAAACACCAAAAACCGTAATTCCAAGAGCTTTGAAATCTTCAGAGGACATAAGTTGCATATACACCAACTACTAAAAGTTATTTGAAAGTTCTACTTCAACAAAGTGTCTAGTATTTACAGAAAATTTGACTTTTTGACGTCAAAATCTGCAATTTCTCGGAAACCGGGCGAACTTGGGAAATTGCGATGATAGGTCAAATAGGCATTATGGATATGCATAAAATGAATGTGGATATGACTCAATCCGAATAGCAGTTTTAATTTGTGCGGCCAATGTTGACGGATGGACGGACCAACGGACGGACGCCTGGTCAATCCCATAGGCTCACTGTGTGAGCCAAAAATCAGTTCAGTAACAGTATACTACAGTTATCAATAAAATACAGCAGGACCTGCCTAATCTGAATGCCACTTGGCATCTTGGAGTGGTGTTTGAAATAGTAGGTGTTCACATTTTAGGATCTTTTAATGTGGGAGATAATGGGACATTGCAAATTTGAATACGGTGATGTTCAGATATTAAACAGGTTTTACTTAATTAAATGTAATGAAGCAGATCTCACTCAAACTTCTCTGTTATGGTGGCTTATTATGATGTTTTACAAGGAATAATTCTTGTTCAAGTTTGGTCTCATACTCTCATAATTTGACCAAAGGGCTGTTATAAAGCAATACAGTAGCACTTATGGCAAACATTAGGTTCTGTAGAACCCTTGCTACTAGAATTAAATTTCTGAATTATATATATTTTTATACAATGTCATGATAGGCATAAACCATGCAATGCAGCATTAGGCTACTAATTTATAAAACATCTATATATGTTCAGCTTTATTATACAGGGTGTCCCAAAAGTATGGCACCCCCTAGACAGATATATACCAATGTCTCCATAGTATGTGTCATATATCATTTTAAAGCTTATCCAAAGCTACATTCATGTTTCAACTCACAAATGGAAAAACGTCTACAGGTTACTATGGAGGCATTGATATATATATTGGTATATATCTGCCTGGGGGGTCCCATACTTTTGGGACACTTTGTACATTTAAAAATAAGTATAGAATAGCCTATGTAAGGGCCAAGGGGAACACCTTTAATACCCCTAAAAGTGTTCCACTTGGGAGATGTTCAACATTTGCTGGAATTACACCTTAAAATCCGCTAAAACGTTTTAGTGGAAGGCGCTTTACAAAATCGCCATTCTGATTACACCATCATTTCTAAAGCGTCTTAGGATTTATATTTTGGAATTACACCTGTTTTTTCTAAAACGCCTTTCGTGCACTTTTAACGATGTAGTTATGGATAATATCCAGCATACATGTTTACAAGTGTACATCTCCTGTAAATGTATTCTTGCTGCATCTAAGACAAAACTGATCTTCCATAATTTGATTAGAAATACATGACCTGATGACATTGCATAATTTTTATTTATCTTTTATTAATTATGAGAAAACATAATAAAAAGGTAAAAGAAAGATATGTACATATTCTCTGAAGATAACACTTGATTTCGATGTGACCTGGCGACATTCATCCATTTTCAATTTAGATATAGCCAGATAGCAGTGTGACCGGATTTCTTATCATGTATCAAATATTTCGTTTAGGGCAAGTGTTAAAAACTAGTAAAAACCCGCATAAGGCTTCTTACAAAAACCGATCGGTATTACACTGCACACTTAAAACGCCTAACGACTTATGCCGTTTACTAGTGACAAGGGTTCTTGGAGTTTTAGAAAAGCGCTTTTGTAAAACCGCAATTGTGATTACACCTAATTCTTAAACCTGGTTAAAACCGAAGACGCTTTTGTAAAACGCCATGTGTAATTCCAGCAATTATGTCCATGAGGTGTATAATATATACAATAGTACAACTTTTCAGAACATCTGGACCCATCATTGTACAACATTATTTACAATACATATTTAACTGCACAATAGAGAATATTCATGAACCAAAATATTTACTATGTAATATTCATTTTCAAATCAATACAAAGTTAATTTCCAAAATAGAGATCTTTATGCACCATTCAAAGGTTTACATGTGACTCCTCCAAACAGAAAGTGGATCAGATTTTGACAACATATAAATTGAGCAGTCAAAGTCAGTTCCCTGAGAACAGCATAAGGAGTCAATTTCCCCACCTTGGAAGAAATAATAGCTTATAAAACATTGTCAAAATTCTGGATTACCAGGATTGCCAGAATATACATTTCAAAAGGCCCTACTCCCAGGCAAAGTAGGATGTCAAAATCCCACCCCTGGGACATTACTGCCAATCAAATTCCTGACCTTTCCTACATGGGGGTCTCAAGCAACATTTGAAATGTGCATAATTACGAATTAGAAATGCCTGGCCTACCACTTATGGTAAAGGGCCAGCCTAAATTATGAGATGTGCCAGAGTAACATTCCCCCATTTTGACTAGTTAAGGCTGTCTAATAATATTCTTTAAAAACTAATAACTTTAAGAAATAATTTATAACTACATCTTCCATTTTTTTGTCAAGTTTCATAACATAGGAAAATATGCAATGGTGTATACTGATTTTTACAAATAGACACGTCAGAATCAATGACCTATGTAGAAATATAATTTTTGACCCTGAGTTTTTTGTTATTCTTGTGTGACATATACATAAATATATCAAGCAGATACATTACAGGCATTCAAGAAACTGAAAATGAGTAAATTAAGACATCTGGGATCTGATTGGTTCACAGGTAGCTACATGTTATGTTCCATCAATCAAATCACAAATATCTTAATGATAAATGCAACAAGCCTCCATCTAAATACTGTAGTGTCTCAACTGTTAGGAAGTTTCTGTCCATAACTTCATTTTATTCACTGAATGTTTTAATTGAGCAAGATGCCTTCATATATACTCAATTCTGAAGCAGCAGAACCCTAAATATTACATTTTAATCTTGGACTAGCAGTGTTTAATGTCAGAAATGGTCATATATAAAGTTACCTTAAACTGCTTTCTTTGAGCTTTAATGATTAATATAAACATTTATCCTGTTAGTTTAATTATGCTCTGTATATACAATTTCTATAACATTATATTTATATATGTATATGCTGGATGACACAAATATCAGATATACAAGACAACAATGCATATATCTACATCAGTGTTTGTTAAGGTACTCTGCCTACCTGAATTAGGTGTTAAGGTACTCTACCTACCTTCTCTATCTGTTTAAATAGCTGCAAAAACAAGTTTATAGGCCTATCCAAGAGCAAAGACCAACAGTATAGCTGTACATCTTTCTAATGGTATATCAAAATACATCATATCACTTTGATATATCTATCTGTACACATTTATCATACTAAAACTGCAAAATGCAACAACAGAGTATAATATTTCTCATTTTATGATGATATTATAGGGGTGAACTTAATAAGTTAGTCCCCAGTTTCCAAACAGGCCCATTCTCTATCATTCCACATATGTGAGGATGTCGTGTGATCCATTACATTCATTGGCTCATTTCAACAACTGGTTGTCTGTCAAATTTGTTACGTTTATCATCAGATTTCTCAGCTTCTCTCTGTGTATTGTCAGAACAGCTGGCAGAGCTAGACTTGCTACTCCCAGTTCCTGCAAGACTATCTGAAAAACAATGATTTTTTCGATAAAATTTCATTTTGGCCGACATTTATACATCAGCTTCAGGATTAAGGCAGGTATTGGGCAGGTATATTTTTGTTTGTGATGTGATATCACATGATTATATATGACTTATCATCCTATCAGCAAGAGGAAAATCCTATGATATCAAATATATCCTATGTTTATTTCCAAAATATATTTCAACCCAAATAAACATTTCAATTGATATCACCAAGTGAATTATACTTAATTACAACTGAAACTTCAATTAGACACAACTCCATGAACCATTCCATGAAAAACTATTAGACCACTCAGGCTTACCTTCAGAAAACTGAAGGGAGAAGTTCATGATGACGTTACTGCTCTGCTCAGCAAGACTGTCCAGTGTAGGTAAGAGGCGGAATATGTTGATGAGGATCCGGGAGTGATTCTCAGGGTGATTGATGGGCACCTCTTTGGCAAGACAGTCCAATAAGTGATTATTAATGGCTTTTAACTCTTTAGTGTTTTTGATACACGACCGACCTGAAAGCAGGGTGAAAATATGTTTTATACCATGGCCTATGAAATGAATTCATGACAGGGTTTTGCAAAATAAAACCTCTTATCCAACATTTTGTAAAGTAAAGAAAATGGCCAAGAAAATTCAAGATGTTCATTTAATATCTGTCAAACATCTGTACCACATTTAAATGGAATTCTATGAGCGGCTCTCCTGGAATTGAGATGACAAGGTATATTGAAAATGATCCAAAATGACTGAAGATAGTCTAGCAAAAAAATGAATCAGCCAAAAACTTGATATACTCTGTCTGTAAAAGCCACCTTTTGAAATTGTGATGAAAAAGGTGGGATGGCACTATGCAAAATCATAATTATGCCACTATCATGACAGAAATATCCCCCTCTTCAAAAGACAATTCAAAATAGTAAATATATACAATACACCAGCAGAATATATACATGTATACCAGTGTGTATACCATACCCCCTGTAAAATCATGCAGTTTTTCACCATTCTAGGCATTTTTTATGTGATATGGGCCAAATTTGTCAAAGTGAACCACTCTGGCAAAACCCCCTTGGCAAAAGCTGGCTTTGAGGGGCCTACTGTATAAATCATCTCAAAAGATACTTACCCGGGTCTGTAAGGCGAACTGAACATAGAATACTGAGTTCTGAGAATGTTAGCATACACTCATTAAACCCCTCTGCGACTGTAAACATCTTTCCTATCAGATCTGCTGGTAGAATCCTACTCATCCAGAATTTGGAGTAAAATATGCCGTTGTCCAATAACATGTAACTTTCACCTCCCTGGATATAGCCACTAGAGGTAATCTGCAATGTTTAATGGAGATTGTTTGTATACAGCTTTTATATTAATCTTTATAAACAGCTTTTATATTTGTTTATATACAGCTTTTATATTTGTTATATGCAGCTTTTATATTTGAAATGTTCATATGCAGCTTTTATATTTGTTTATATACAGCTTTTATATTTGATATGTTTATATACAGCTTTTATATTTGTTCATATGCAGCTTTTATATTTGTTTATATACAGCTTTATATTTGATATGCTTATATACAGCTTTTATATTTGTTCATATGCAGCTTTTATATTTGTTTATATACAGCTTTTATATTTGATATGTTTATATACAGCTTTTATATCTGTTTAAATACACAGGTTTTATATTCGTTACATACAGCTCCTATATTTGTTTATACACAGCTTTAACATATGTTAACATACAGCTTAAATATTTGTTTATAATGCAAGTAAAATTGAGAGACTAAAATCGAGTGCATATAGTAACTGAAACTCACCATCCATATGTCAAAGTACGCATCTTTAATGAGCTTGCCTTGGTCTTCCTTGTCTAAGTCATTGAAGCCTGGTATACCATTGCTAAATACTGGGACAAAAACAAGCAATGGTGGATGAATTAATTACATAATTCAAATAAATTCTCATTCTTGAGTTGATTTGATGAGTTTTGTGATTCAGAATGATTTAGAATCTTGATGCCATTAAATGTGTTTCAGATGTATCATCCAGAAAGGTTTTAAAATTATGATTTCTTTTAATTCTAAACTTAATAGAAAATAAGGTTGACTTACACAGTGATTTTTGATATACAAAGGATAGTTGACTTGCACATTGTTCTTGTGACATAATGAGAATGCTTTACTTACCAAGTATTTTTTGTGATATTTTCGGAATAGAGCTGATCAACTGATTCCAGATCATCTTTAAATCTTCAATTGAGTCTGATTCAAAATTCTTTGGCCTTTGATCCTACAAGAAAAATGGTTGTGTGAGTTTTCTACCTAGATCGTTACATCAACTCGTGCAAAATTTTCTAAAAAAACGATACATCAATGGCCTTCAAGACTGTCAATAGATGGCATAAAATTCAGTAGGTTTAATAGCATACTTTAACATGTAGAAATTGCTCTAAAAATTTCCCAAGATAAATTTAATCGAAAATATCCAAAACCTTATGATTTTGAATCTTAAAACATGTTTGTAAATAATAATGAAGGAAAATTTGATATTTTTTTGATAAATGTAGAGAATTTGAAGTTTTAATACAGCAATATTTACACATAAACCAATGGGCCAGATATGAACAACAACCTAGTAGTTAACTGCCATCTATACGAGTCCTTGCTCCCATTAGTGCAAAATTTTCTAAAAATTGGTGGAAAAGTGGATAAGAATCAAGACACAGTGTGAAAATTATCTCAATACATTTATGGCATATATCCTTTCTTCATAATTAAACACAACAATCTCATTCAACATTTGTTCCTAATAATGACAGTGAGCAAACAAAAAAGGAAGACTCACTTCAGGAAGGGCCAAACGTTTTCTTATCATTTCCATTAACCCTCTCGTCTCCTCAGCAAAACTATTCTCAAATGCTAGTTTCAACTGGTCAATGGTGGACTCGAGTCGTCTATCATCATCGGATAAGGGATAGGCTGACTTATTGGTACCTTTCCTCTCAGGTTTCAAATACTGGTCAAATTCACCTTTTATGCCTTCTAAATTTGAGTTATGGGTGTTATCTTTTCCATAGTTCCCATGCTGAGCTTGCGAGGCCCCAATGTGTCTTGTAGGGTCAGTGTGGTTAGAGTTCATAGGTCTGTAATCTTCTGGAACAACCTGCATCCTATGATGGTCATGGCTGTCAATTACCTCTTCATTTGAATATGGCACACTGTTAGATCGATGAAGCTTTGTTGGGAGCTCATCTTCAGAGTGGTAAACTGTCTTACGTTTCTCAAGTAATTCTTCAGTGTAGCTGTTAGCACTATTAAAACCAGAGCTACTTGATGACATAGACTCACAGTTGTCACGTTGATAAAGAATGTCTCTATGGCGATTACTCCGTATTGATGTGATTAATTTATTGAGCAAAGGATCAGGGATCTCTTTAACAGTTTTCTTTTCAATCACTTGACTTAAAAGTTCTTTGATGACGTTGGGACTGTATACTCTCCGATGGATAATATCAGGCATCGCTGCCTGCTGACTGGTTGGCGTGGCAACATTAGATGTTCCACTCGAGTTTGGGGACACCGAGCCCCCGGGATTCATACTTGCACCTGTGGGGCATGGAGCTGGGAGGGCTTGGGGACTGGGCAATTGGGCAGGTATTACATCACCGTTACAGTTTCTCAAGGAGGGTTCATTTTTTATTTGTGGCATGAAATGCAGCCCGACATGGGGGTCTTTTGCTTCTCTCTGTGCTTCTACTGAATACTGATTTTCAAAGGGCTTTGTCTGAGTTGCCATTTGAGCATGTTGAGGGTACATCTTCTCTCTATAAGGTTCAATACTCTTTCTCATGTAGCTTCCATTCTGTTGGTGGGGCTGTTGATGATGTGACTGGGAGTGGGGATAAACCTGATTTGAGTTGGGGTGAGGCTGATGTGGTGGGTGATTGCTTGGCTGACGGGGTGGAGCGTGGGTCTGTGGGTAATTATGTCTCTTCTCTTCACCCAGGGGATGCATTGGGCCTACATCAGAGTTACTTGGTCCTGACATATTCCCAGTATCGGTAGACAGGGTGGGTTGGTCAGGTGGTACATGGGGCTGCCTCTGTTGAGGCCTGTCTCCATATATGAAGCGATCAAGCATGCTACCCTCTGGTAACATACTAGGCAATTGTTGTTGTTGTTGTTGTTGATGTTGTTGCTGTTGCTGTTGTGTAGATGGCTGCTGATTCTCTCCCCTACGGGCCTCTTCAAGAGCTCTCTCTTTATCAACCTTTGGAATGCGGCCCATCTTTACAGCTGAAAAATTCAAGTATTGTTCCATGAGATTCAAAACTTGGCAAATTTGGTGATTCAGAAATAAGCCATTTCCATTTACAACAAAAGTGAAGAATATTCACTGGGAATTTGTCATTTAGAAACATTATACAGTAGAACCTGTGTAAGTGGAACACCCTTGGGACCGCAAAAAAGTGTTCCACTTGTGAGGTGTTCCACTTACAGAGCTAGAGGTGTTCCACTTAGCAGGTTCTACTGTACTCACACAAAGTTTGTTTTCTGATTTTTAGGGAAATCATTTCTTTATTCAAATTGGCTGAGAAAAACATTAAAACATAGTTCTTGTTGCCAAAAATGCTGGGAGAACAAGAAATGATCATATTGCTTTTGTGGTCGCTATGAATAAAATTTAAAATGTACATCCTAAAGGAATTATTAGGCATTTAAAAACATTTCAGTATTATCAAACTTTGAGTTATGATCATCTCAACAAACAGCCTAAAATATTCATGATGTGTCCAGTTGGTACCAATGCCGATATACACTGTATGAGGATTTCTACATGGTCTGCATGAAGGCCTCATGTAAATGTATGACTGCAGAGACACCATTAAAGAAAAATAGTACATTGCAGTTAAAATTTATTTTTTGCGGCCTTTTGCAGATATGAGTATTTATACTGACAATTCAATAGTTCCAGACACATTAACTTGACAAACATGGAAAGTCTGTGATCATAAGTATACAAATATAAAATGTCAACAATAGTTTAAAACAGTTTTAAAATAAGAATTACAATTAGAAAAACAGCAACTCCACGGAGTAGCAAATCCCACCGAACGGCAGTTGAGTTACCAAAGATTACGAAAATGAAAATGAAAAATGGCAGCCATTCTGAAGATCAGCCGCCATCTTAAATTTTTTTTCTCGAACAGAGCTACTGTGTTTCTAGGCATCAGCATATAAAATTTGAGCCAAATCTGTTCACTGGTATTTGACTTATCAAAGATTACGTTTTTTCTTATGAAAAATGGCTACCATTTTGAAATTCAGCAGCCATCTTGAAAAAATTTTCTCCAACAGATCTACTGTGTCCCTAGGAATCACCATATAAAAAATGAGCCAAATCTGTTCACTGGTATTTGAGTTATCAAAGATTACGTTTTTTACGAAAAATGGCGTCCATTTTGAAATTCAGCCGCCATCTTGAAAATTCTTTCTCGAACAGATCTCTTTTGTCCTTAGGCATCATCATATAAAATTTGAGCCAAATCCGTTCACTGGTATTTGAGTTATGGACGATTACTTTTTTTACGAAAAATGGCCGCCATTTTGAATATCAAGCCACCATCTTGAAAATTCTTTCTTGAACAGATCTATTGTGTCCCTAGGCATTATCATATAAAATTTGAGCCAAATCCGTTAACTGGTATTTGAGTTATCAAAGATTACCTTTTTTACGAAATATGGCCGCCATTTTGAATATCAAGCCGCCATTTTGAAAATTCTTTCTTGAACAGATCTATTGTGTCCCTAGGCATTATCATATAAAATTTGAGCCAAATCCGTTCACTGGTATTTGAGTTATCAAAGATTAAGTTTTTTTACGAAAAATGGTCGCCATTTGGAAATCTAGCCGCCATCTTGAAAATTTTTACTCGAACATATCTACTGTGTCCCTAGGCATCAGCATACAAAATTTGAACCAAATCCCCAAACTAGTATTTGAGTTATTAAAGATTACATTTTTTACGAAAAATGACGGCCATTTTGAATTCAGTGGCCATATTGAAAATTCCTTCTCGAGCAGAGGTCCTACACCCATAAGGCATAAGCCTATAAAATTTGAATCAAATCCGTGAAACGGTATTTGAGTTATCGCCCGGACAAACAGACGGACATTTGTTCGGTGGGATAATAACCAAACCCAATATATGTAATAACTAAGCTGAAACTGGAAAGGATTGAGGAGCACATTTTGATAATCTTAGTGCCACAAGCTAATAATAATAGCGAGTTGCACTACCTATGATTATACTCTTTGTTTAAATGTTTTTAAATGTTCATGTCAAGCTTTCTGGTTAAGATTTTTAACTCACCAAGGTCATTGACCTATCCCATAAAAAACCTGATCGGTGATCAATGTAAATCAAGTTATAGTAATAACAAACATGATCTGGACAATAGAATTAGAAAGAAATAAAGCAAAACCTGTATATAGTGAACACCTATGGAACCACAAAAAAGTGTTCATTGTTGGTAGGTATTAACTACACAGAGAAATTTTACAAAGAAGTTGATGTAAAATAAGTCTTGAAGTGGTGATCACTTAACACAGGTGTTCACTAGAGAAAGGTGTTCACTAAGACAGGTTTTACTGTAATATGATTTAATTTATTCCATGTTTTATGAAGTTTACTTTTGTGACATAAGTTTTGGCAGTCATTTGGATGAAAAACCATTTACAAATCATCAGTCATTTGGATGAGATACCATTTACAAATCATCAGTAATTTGGATGAGATGCCATTTACAAATTGTCAGTCATTTGGATGGGATACCATTTACAAATTGTCAGTAATTTGGATGGGATACCATTTACAAATCATCAGTAATTTGGATGAGATGCCATTTACAAATTGTCAGTCATTTGGATGAGATACCATTTACAAATCATCAGTAATTTGGATGAGATGCCATTTACAAATTGTCAGTCATTTGGATGGGATACCATTTACAAATCATCAGTCATTTGGATGAGATACCATTTACAAATCATCAGTCATTTGGATTAGATACCATTTACAAATCATCAGTCATTTGGATGAGATACCATTTACAAATCATCAGTCATTTGGATGAGATACCATTTACAAATTGTCAGTCATTTGGATGAGATACCATTTACAAATCATCAGTCATTTGGATGAGATACCATTTACAAATCATCAGTCATTTGGATGAGATGCCATTTACAAATTGTCAGTCATTTGGATGGGATACCATTTACAAATTGTCAGTCATTTGGATGGGATACCATTTACAAATCATCAGTCATTTGGATGAGATACCATTTACAAATCATCAGTCATTTGGATGAGATACCATTTACAAATCATCAGTCATTTGGATGAGATACCATTTACAAATCATCAGTCATTTGGATGAGATACCATTTACAAATTGTCAGTCATTTGGATGAGATACCATTTACAAATCATCAGTCATTTGGATGAGATACCATTTACAAATTGTCAGTCATTTGGATGGGATACCATTTACAAATCATCAGTCATTTGGATGAGATACCATTTACAAATCATCAGTCATTTGGATGAGATACCATTTACAAATTGTCAGTCATTTGGATGGGATACCATTTACAAATCATCAGTCATTTGGATGAGATACCATTTACAAATCATCAGTCATTTGGATGAGATACCATTTACATATTGTCAGTCATTTGGATGAGATACCATTTACAAATCATCAGTCATTTGGATGAGATACCATTTACAAATCATCAGTCATTTGGATGAGATACCATTTACAAATCATCAGTCATTTGGATGAGATACCATTTACAAATTGTCAGTCATTTGGATGGGATACCATTTACAAATCATCAGTCATTTGGATGAGATACCATTTACAAATTGTCAGTCATTTGGATGAGATACCATTTACAAATTGTCAGTCATTTAGATGGGACAGCATTTACAAATTGGCAGTCATTTGGATCAGTTAGCATTTACAAATTGGCAGCCTACTGAATGGGAAAGCATTTACAAATTGGCAGTTGTTTGGATGAGATACCATTTACAAATCATCAGTCATTTGGATGGGATACCATTTACAAATCATCAGTCATTTGGATGAGATGTCATTTACAAATCATCAGTCATTTGGATGGGATACCATTTACAAATCATCAGTCATTTGGATGAGATGCCATTTACAAATCATCAGTCATTTGGATGGGATACCATTTACAAATCATCAGCCATTTGGATGAGATACCATTTACAAATCATCAGTCATTTGGATGAGATACCATTTACAAATTGTCAGTCATTTGGATGGGATACCATTTACAAATCATCAGTCATTTGGATGAGATACCATTTACAAATCATCAGTCATTTGGATGAGATACCATTTACAAATTGTCAGTCATTTGGATGAGATACCATTTACAAATCATCAGTCATTTGGATGAGATGCCATTTACAAATTGTCAGTCATTTGGATGGGATACCATTTACAAATTGTCAGTCATTTGGATGGGATACCTTTTACAAATCATCAGTCATTTGGATGAGATACCATTTACAAATCATCAGTCATTTGGATGAGATACCATTTACAAATTGGCAGTCATTTGGATCAGTTAGCATTTACAAATTGGCAGTCTACTGAATTGGAAAGCATTTACAAATTGGCAGTTGTTTGGATGGGAATGCATTTAAAAATTGGCAGTAATTTGGATGAGATACCATTTACAAATTGTCAGTCACTTGGATGGGATAGTATTTACAAATCATCAGTCATTTGGATGAGATACCATTTACAAATTGGCAGTCATTTGGATCAGTTAGCATTTAGAAATTGGCAGTTATTTGGATGGGTTAGCATTTACAAATTGGCAGTAATTTTGATGTGATAGCATTTACAAATTGACAGTCATTTGGATGGGTTAGCATTTACAAATTGACAGTCATTTGGATGGGTTAGCATTTACAAATTGACAGTCATTTGGATGGGTTAGCATTTACAAATTGGCAGTCATTTGGATCGGTTAGCATTCACAAATTGGCAGTCTACTGAATGGGAAAGCATTTAGAAATTGGCAGTTATTTGGACGGGAATGCATTTAAAAATTGGCAGTAATTTTGATGTGATAGCATTTACAAATTGACAGTCATTTGGATGGGTTAGCATTTTCAAATTGGCAGTCATTTGGAAGGATTAGCATTTACAAATATGGCAGTCATTTGGAAGGGATGGTATTTAAGAATTGACAGTTATTTTGATGGGATAGCATTAACAAATTGGCAGTAATAAACATCAGTTCAAGGGATCTTTCAATAAAGAGCCATAAAATGAAAATTTATAAGTATGACTGCTGGTAAAATGAATATTTGGACACTTTTGATTGGTGATATGAAGATCATCAGGCGCATGGCACACAACGCCACACAGTAACAGGACAGAAAATAAGCATTTACATCCGAGGTGTATTATAACACCTTTAAAGTCAAAGATGGGATGAGATAGCTTTTATATATTGTCAGTCATATGACACTAAATAATATTAATTACAGGAGCTTGTGTAACTTATATCGATTTTTACCTCATATTGCAAGTAATACTGAATATGAACTTTATCATAGCTAATATATAAATAAAACAACACAGTAAAATGATAAAATGTCAAACCATGAATAAGATAATGACTCAATAATAAGTAAGTCTATGACAAATAGTGCTGTAATCAAATTAAAACAAGCGAATGCCAACCCCTGAATGCCAAATGCCGAACACCCACCACATAAATTTGGAGACTATATAACTGATGTTAACATGTGTGGTGGTGACATTAATGTTGACACTTGTGGTGGTGACATAACAATATGTTTACACTAGTGATGGGGTAACTAAAAAAACTACAATATACAAAATTGAACTAAAACTAGACTTAAGTATTAGATGCACTGTGATATCTTGACATGTTTAGTGTCTTAAATCATTGGCAGTCAGCTAGAAAATCTATTTGTAGTTGCTGTTGGTTTCTTCTTATTTTATTGGTATGTTTCTTTCACTCTTTGTCTTCTTAGTTTCTTCTTCTTTGTTTCTGTTGTTGTAATTTCCTTCTCTCTTTAGTTTCTTCTTTCTTGGTCTTCTTTCTCACTATACTTTTTCTCTTTGGTCTTGTTTGGTGTTGGGTCTGCAGACTTGTGACTGACTACATGTCGGTGGGTTAAAGCTTTTTCCACCGGTAACACTCCCCTTCCCCTCTGTCTTTATCGATGTTTGTTTAGTTGCTGTTTTTCTTCCATAGTTTACCCTCATTTCGGAGACTGATATCTAAATTCCATTCATTCTTGTTTTTTCATATTTCCTTATTCATCTTAGAACTCTGACCATATCTTTAATATTTGAATTTTTGACTTTTTGTATTTTATCTGTATTCATTTGTTTTTAGCAATTGTCTTTTTGATATATGCTGACAGAGTTTCTTTCTTAATATATCATTGAGATATATCAATTTTTCCCCAAGGACTTGATTCTTTTGGACACAGTTTTTTCATCACACTGCAGACTCTTGATATTCTTATTATCTGTGACAAATAGACTCCATATGATTATTTTTTTGGGATGTTTCCTGAAAGGTCTGGATGGGAAACTATCTTGAAATTAAAATCCTCTCTCTTATCATATATCATGTATTTGTGTAGTAATTTTCTTGTGAGGTACGGATGGACGGACAGACAGACAGATGAACAAGTGAGTGATTGCAATAACTCACTATGTGTCGTATGTGAGCTATGAAGAGTAAGATTTAAAACAAGAAATCATGGATTTAAAGAGAGGGTCTTGTCAAATGATCACAAAATGAACTTTGCAATAAAGTAAAACATATTTAATGACAAATGCAGGAGATATAGACAACTGTTTAAACAAATAAATTAAATAAAGGATGCTTAAACACAGAAATTAATTAATCTAGCTCATAAGTTATTTTCATCCTATTTAATCTACTCTGGATTTAATATTCCATACATGTACTGTATTACAGATATAGTATTGCAGAATGATTGGAGAGGATAAATACATGATCTTAATGTCTCTTATACATCAAGTTCTAATTTGGAATATGAGTCTCTTTATTAAAAACAGCCTGGTTGACAAAATAGAGAGTGGGACCTGATAAATATAGGAAAAAATAAATATATGACCTATGTCATTAGAGAGATTTTGCAGCAGCATGTTTATTATTCCCGTAGAACGTATAACTTATGAAGTGTTTGATAACGTAATCATTTATTGGGCAGCTCTATCCATAAGTGGGATATTCTTAGGTATAGATGACGATTATGTAAGAATATCACACTTATGGACGTAGGAGCTGCACAATCAATGATGAATAATAAAATGCTTCATAAGTTAAGTGTTATATGGGAATAATAAACATGCAATAAGTCAGTTGCAATCTCTCTACTATAATGTGAAAGATGTCAAATAATTATCCCTCCCTTTCTGAGACATGAACACAATCCGTGCCATATCAATTAAATCCTGTCTGAAATTAGACACAAACATGATATAGTGTCACCACTTAAAGCAGATATGAAATGGTATTTTTTAACCTAAAGGAATCAATATAATTTTTTGATAAATGTATTTGGACATATTTTCTCATCAGTAGTGCGAAAACTATTTCACTCTAACGATCGTTATAGCTGCTTAATAAGCAATATTCGAATTGGTTGTGACGTTATTGGCCCCCACGTGATCTCTCACTGGTCCCCACATGGCCCATAACGTCATAATGCCAAAATGTTTTGTTTTGGTTAACACTACAATCCTATGGTTGCCGTGAGGTTGTGATTACTAAGGAACCAATAAACCAAAGCTATATTTTGTATATGACGTTACTTATCACGTGGGGGCCAATTTGATTGATCAGTTAGTTTTATTTCGTTATTTATGACCGTTAGCAGTTATCTAACATTTATTTTATAATGACTATCGCAAGAACTCTACGTTGGGCTTACAATGGAGAAAACCGCATTTTTGTAGCTGCAAGTTGAGAAAAGCTATTTCAGTTGTCCTTTAATAGATGTGATACCCACCTTCAACAGACATTCCAGTTGAAAGACATCGCTGGAATCGACATGACTTGCAGCGGTTGCGATTTTGGGGTGTTAGCTGACAGGATCCTCCGAAAAAACACTTGTATTTCTGCTCATTTGTGATACTACGTTTAAAGAAACCCTGAAAACATAAAAAAAATTACTAGGATTTTAATGAGCATGGTAAATTTGAAGCTGATTCAATAGATCAAACTGGTTACCCACTCTCGAATAAGGCTGCCATATCTAGCAAGCATTAACCACCAAGTGAGCACCTCCATCTTTGAAAATGTGCATTTCTTCATTGGCTCGAATGATCCCTACATCAGATTTTTGAGAAATTAAAGGAGAATAGACTCATATTTCCATTTGGTATTTACAAGAAATTTCAAATTCCCTATTTGCTGACTGTTACTTGAAGAAGCAGCAATTTGCCAGGACAAAGGACATTCCATCTATCAAATTGATGGTTCGAGAAGTGTTACTTAATACTTATGAAAATCTTAACAATCTTTGATGTCCATAAATTTAAAATTCGATACCTATGTATCTTTTCAAAAGTTATTTTATATACATATTCTGGGGCTATGTATGAAATAATTTGCCAGTTGAACTGCATGTAAAACCTCTGAAATCTTTTAAATGCAAGACAACCTTTTGATCATGGGCTTTCAACTAGAAATTGAAAGCCCATGTTTTGATCAAGATAAATAAGAAAATACACAAAGACGTTTTTGAAGTATTTCAAAGTATTCTGCACATATGTAGCTCGTATGTATAAATCTAATAATATCAGTGGTTGCTCACGTAAAACATTTAATATAGCCACTTACACACTATTTACTCAGATTGTCATGTGGTTAAATATTGTATCAAAATGATTACCATGAAAACCCAATGTATGTGATAATTAAATTTATTAATCTTAGATTCTCATTATTGAGACAAACTTGATCATACTCACTTCCCACATTGGAACTTGCCTTTGGAATTTAGAACCTTCGGAACTATTATGATTGGCTAAAGTTTAATTCTCAAAGTAGTAAATTCAGAAACCTATGAAATATATGAAATTGATTAAAAATCTTGATATATTTATCACATGTAATAATAACAATATAACTCTACAACAGGATATGTTGTCAAAGAGAATTTCTGATGGTTCTGAAAATAATTCTGTTACTTAGCCTGATTTTCAATCAAACTGCCAATAAATTAGCATTTGAGTGACATGATACTAACATCAATAATATTGATATTGTTTGAGAGAACTCTTCACCTGTTAACATAACCATTAAACACATATATTAGTAGCTATGTATTTCATGCAATCAATGAAAGGCAGGTGCTAAGTAAATCAAGTATTATTGATTTCAACAATGAGATACGGCATTCATTATCCCAGCTCATCATTAATGGATTGAACTGGATACCCTTGGACCAAGGATGATCACGGACTGATCCCATATTTCTTTTAAACATACATGTAGTCCAAAATCCCATCATTTTTTTGACACATAGATTCTAAATAGGGTGGCTTGTAAATTTCAAATTTTCAACATTGTGCAGCTCGAAGTTGTTCTGATGCTGGCAACAATCAAACTAACTTAAACTATTTAATATCCCTTCCATTATCTATTCAAAAATACTTTTACCTTGTATTTTCACAAATATATTCGCTTTGCATCGAATTGTCAATTAATAATATATTTATACTGTATATGCATTTATCATATTCTCCAGTTGATACCTTGTAACTGTGAGCAAATTCTTCAAAGTTGAGATTGCATGAAACTATTACATGTATATCCAATAGAATAACATAACCCACCTTACAGCCTTCACAGGTTGCCACTCCATAGTGGACTCCAGTTGCTCCATCATTGCAGATCCTGCACTGCCCAAATGGATAAGGCACGGCACCATGTGGCATCCTATCTTGTCAACATGTACCAATATACATCTACAAATAGAGCAAGACATTTTCAGTCATTTTTATAGTTTACAATCTGGCAAGAAGAAAGTTTGGCAACTGAAGATAACATTCCAGAAATAAACAGTTAGATGTTTTGGTTCTCTTGGATGATGCCGATTACGTTTGGTGTTTAGAATTGACAGAGAAGAATTATGAATGTGGCTAACAACATTAATTGTTGGGGCAGGGGGTAGGTACAAAAAATTTCAAAGCAAATGCGTCACATATATAGTAAAACCTGTGAACAGGGAATGCTCTTGGGACTGGAGGAAAATTTCCTTGTTCAACCTGCCTTCGTTGGCTGAGGGTAAGGGGCGTTCTCCCTATGTTGATTTTAGCTGCTGATGCCTGCGTCTGATGATGTCTAGTTGATGTAGTTATTGATGTGATGTGTAGAGATATGTTCCTAAGAACTGAATTTCAAGTTTCATCAACCCCATTTTATATCATTGATAATCTAGAATTTTGGATCAGTAAAATATTGAAAGAGATTTGGCTCAACATGACACATGGACTTCTGTCATCTCCATTAAACAATTGTGTCAGTCCCTAGATTATCACAACTGATGAGAAGTAATAAGGTTTGTTGAAAGGAAGAATTAGTGTCATGATAATAAGTAACAAACAGATTTGTATTAGTTTTAAATATATCAGGTTAATTAACTGTGGGTGGGATGCTACATCCTGTAAACAATTGACTTATCTCAATCTCAACCATATTAATCCAAGCTTTTTAGAATCAGATATTGGCTTTAAGACTTTCACACCTCTGAAATATAATAGAACAGTGTCACCAATATTCCTTGTTCACAGGTGAATTTTCATAATTTGCCCCAAAAAGTGTTCCTTGTTCCCAGTTCACAGGTTTTTCATTATTCTTGAGAATCTACTTGAAAGATATAACATATTATCCTACACTTAGTGTACTAAATGTATAATAACATTAAAAAATAAATTTGATATTTATTGGCAAAATGAATATCCGGAGGATATCGTAACGATATACTCCGGGCAGAGGATATCGTGACAATATACTCCGGAAAATCCAATATGTGGAGGATATTGTGACGATATACTCCGCTTGTTGATTTCCCGCCAAATTGACTCTATTTGGCATGCTTCATTTTGCAATGATATTATACATTTAGTACACTCCTTGTAAGTGTAGGATAATACAGAGGTGGCGTTAACGCAATTTTTTACGTTTTTTACTCACATTTTTGCAACTCTGACGCAAATATTCATTGTCTACCGAGTCTATCTGACGCACGTTTGTTTCACATGCAAAATCCCCGCTTGGTACTTGGTTAAATTGATCCCTATACGTGAAAATACGTGATTTATCAAATTTATAATTTTGCTAATTCCGGAAATCTAACATTTCGTTCAGCGCAATCGAGCCTCCTTCCTACCGATCATTTTCTCATTTCGGTATTTCATATAATTCTTAAAGCCCTGTGATTCAGATTCAATGATAAACTTGAAAACATTGATCGATCCCTCGATTTGTTTATCTCGTGAAGCACTTTGCTAGGGGGCGTATCAAAAATGCAATAAAACGAACATAACATTGAACAATAATTTATTAATTTCATACTCCCTTCTAAGGATTTTAGTGATCGTATATTTATCTAAATTACCGCATAAAATCTTCCCTTGAATGTTCACACGCTAGATTTACGAACTTTTAGTTTCCTTCGCAAGTTCGCAAAATTCCTTCGCTAAGTTAGCAAGTTTCCTTGAGCCGTCCCCTTCATCAGCATGCGCAGATGTAATGTCTATGTCTATGTCAATAATCTGCAAAAGGCTAATAAGCCCATATAAAGCAGATATATAATTTAACAGTGATAGAATTTGAATAGAATATGATTTAAAACCTTAACATTTAAAAATAGATCTATGGTTTACAACTCATTTTACCTGGGGAGACTGTCAGGCTACCGCGTTGACATCACCCCCTTTTACCAGTAGTGCAGGCTTGTTGCTGTGCACTGGGGACCCTTTACATTAAAACATAGATCTATATTAAAAACACACCTATTTAATTGCAGTTATTGACATAGGCATAGTATGATGATTTAAAACTACTTAGACTGTCACAGTCTAAGATGTCACCAGGTAGAGTGTTCCATTTAGCTATTGTCCTAGGGAAATAGCTAAATTTGTATGCATCCGTTCTAGCTGATGGTTGTATGAACTTAGAAGGATGATACAACCTAGTGTTGGTATTGATCTGTTGGCGGAAGTATGGAGGCACGTCGATGGCTGCTAGGTTCTGCTTTCCTTTGTAGAAAAGGAAAACTCTAGCAGCCTCTCGACGCTCCTTCAGTGGCTCCCACTGTAGGTCTTGAAGAGCTTTGGTGACGCAGCCTGGTTCCCTTGAGTGACATTTGGTTACAAACCTGGCTGCTCTTCTCTGTACCTGTTCCAACATATCAATATCTTTTTGTCGGTATGGATCCCATGCCGAGCTGGCATACTCTAAATTAGGCCGGACTAGTGACTTATACGCCTGAGCCTTCACTTTTTCAGGGCATTGATGGAGGTTGCGCCTGAGAAATCCAAGCACCTTATTGGCTTTGGATACAATAGTTTGAATATGTGTAGTCCAGCGTAAGTTATTTGTGATGTCAATTCCTAGGTATGGGATGTGTGTTACCGACTTAAGGTTTTCCCCTAGCATGGTGTAATTGTGCATGATAGGGGATTTACCTTTGTGAATATTTAGCACATAGCATTTTGATGGATGGAATTTCATTTGCCATGTTGATGCCCAGGAGACCAGTTTATCAAGATTCTCCTGTAGTGTTAATGCATCTTGCTTGCTTTCGACTGTCATGAATAAAAGGCTGTCGTCGGCAAAAAGCTTAAGACTGGCTGAGGATGATAGGTTATTGCCCATATCATTGATATAAACAAGGAAACAGAGTGGTCCAAGAACTGTTCCTTGAGGAACTCCTGATTTTACTGGAGTTTTTGAACTTGATTCACCATCGAGCACTACCTGTTGTGATCTTCCCACAAGCCAGGATCTGAACCAGTTCAAGTTATTATTGCGAATTCCATAATAGTCGAGTTTGAGCAAGAGGCGTTCGTGAGCCACCGTGTCAAATGCTTTGGAAAAGTCTAATACCAACATGTCTGTTTGTTTATTGTTGTCGAGGGCCCGAGCTATATTCTCTATTGTATTGACAAGTTGTGTTTCACATGATGCGCAGTAGGTTTATCAATGGTGCTCACAGTGACCGATCTATCGTAAGTTTTCACCAAGTATTTTCAATTAACTCCCTCAAGTTAAGATCTTCGATTCACTAGATCTGAAGCTGATCCTATGAAGATAGATAATGGGCACATGAAAATCCAGTCGATCGCACATTAAGGGGGGTAATGATGATAAATTAGGTATGAAAACAAATCTACTTTCGGTTTCATTTGATCAGCTATAATTACAAGATTCTACCGTATTCAATTTAAATGATGCCCAGTATTGTGGTCGGACTTATATTGCCGTTTTAGACTTTGGAATGATTGCAAAAATGTTTAATTTCAACATGAAACGCTTTGACCCCAATTTGTGTAACTCCACACAGGGAGAAACTCCTCGTCCCACTCCATTCACACCCATGACTCGCTGGACCAGATAATCAGATGATTAGAATAGTGACATTTTTCTTGCAATTGCCTAATCAATTAATTGTTAGTTGTTAATGTGCTATAAGAGTACAATAAAAGGTATGCACAAAATCAAAAAATAGATTTTGTATGTGGTTTCTACATTTTGTATGCATTTTTACTCAAGAAAAACACTTTTATAGCTTTGACTCAACTTTTTTTCTTGTGACTCACTTTTTTTAAACTACCTGAGTCATGATGACTCACAAAAATATATGCCTACCGCCACCGCTGATAATAAGAACATCCTATGATTTTTTTCAGAATATCATTTTAATCTACTCGGTGATATTGATATATGCACTCGTTCGCTTCGCTCTCTAGTGCAGATATCAATATCACCTCGTAGATAAAAATGATATTCCTCAAAATCATAGGATATCCTATAATTATGTAATGGGAAATGTCATATTTAAATTGAACAAGGCACAGGACGTGAACGAGATCACACCATCAAATAGGCAGACACTATGAACCAGGAAAACTGTTCTCCTATTATGTTAACAAATTTCAAGAACAAGAAAACAAGATGGCCGCCCAAAAGTTAATCAGCTCTAGTACTTGATATCCTCTATCATTTGTGTAAATTTGAAGGAAATCCGATGAGCGGATTTTCTGAAATGGCGATGACAAGATTTTTCGAAAAATCTTCAAAATGGCTGCCAGAAAACAAGATGGCCACCCAAAAGTTAATCAGCTCTAGTACTTGATATCCTCTATCATTTGTGTAAATTTGAAGGAAATCCGATGAGCGGTTTTCCTGAAATGGCGATGACAAGATTTTTCGAAAAACCTTCAAAATGGCCGCCAGAAAACAAGATGGCCACCCAAAAGTTAATCAGCTCTAGTACTTCATATGCTCTATCTCTGCGAATTTGGAGAAAATCTGATGAGCAGTTTTCCTTAAACGGCGATGACAAAAAGCGGGACGATCACGATCACGACCACGACCACGATCACGATCACGACCACGATCACGATCACGACCAGTATGACGACTATATCCCACCGATGGTGTGATAAAAAGTGTTCATTGTGAAAGATATGACTGTCTAAAACACTTGCCATACTAAACAGACCTGATATTGTGCAATAGTTTGTACAATCAAATAAGAGAATTGATTTATAATATTGCAAATGGTATTTCACAAAACACTACAGTAAACTGCATTCAATATATATCTAATTAAGTAGTATGTTGCCAATGCCATGATATTCTTTATGTCTGAAATGATATTCTTTATGTATGCAACACAGAACAGCGTGATCAAACAATAAATACAACAGAGTTGTAAGCCTAACTTTCACTTTCAGTT